CGTCCGGCGATGGCCTCGGCGTTGTCGCCGGCGTAGACCGTCCGCAGCTGCGCCGCCCCTTCCTGCAGCCGCCGGACCTGAGTGACCAACGCCTCCACGTCCCTCTCGAAGGCCGCCAGCGTCCGCTGCATGGCTCCGGCCGACGTCCGGCCGTCTCCGGCCGCCAGCTCGGGCAGCCGGCGCCGTTTTTCCTCGATTTGCCCCAAAACGTCCTTGCAGTCGTTGAAGAATTTGTGGAGGTCGTGGGAGGCGGCCAGCATCTGCGCCCGAGTGTCCATCAGCTCCAAGAGGTCAGCCCACGCCTCGTTCAGGCCGTCCTTCCACTCGGCGATGGTGGCCGCGTCCGAGTGGCCGTAGTCGATGAGCTCGTCCACCATCTGGTTGACCGCGGTCACTCGCTGGTGGCCGTCGCTGCCCGTCTCGGTGGCGAAAGCCAGGAATTTCTCCTGGAGGAGCTGGATGGGCAAGGGGGGTGAGTGGTCAAGCGGTCAGTGGGTAGGATATCAGTGGGAAGTGGTCAAGGGGTCAGTGGTCAAGTGGTCAAGTGGTCAAGGGATTAGTGGGGTGGTGTTCAAAAGGTCAGTGGTCAAGTGGTCAAAGGGTCAAGGGATCAAGTGGTCAAGTGGTCAAGGGGTCAGTGGTTAAGGGGTCAAGGGATCGAGTGGTCAAGTGGTCAAGGGGTCAGTGGTCAAGTGGTGAAGTGGTCAAGGGGTCAGTGGCGAAGTCGTGAAGGGGTTAAGGTCAAGGGGTCAGTGGTCAAGGGGTTAAGGGGTCAGTGGTTAAGGGGTCAAGGGGTCAAAGGGTCAAGGGGTCAGTGGTCAAGGGTCAAGGGATCAGTGGTCAGTGGTGAAGTGGTCAAATGGTCAAGGGGTCAAAATATCAGTGGTGAAGTGGTCAAGGGGTCAGTGGTTAAGGGGTCAAGGGGTTAAGGGGTCAAGGGGTCAAGGGGTTAAGGGGTCAGTGGTCAAGGGGTCAGTGGTCAAAATACCAGTGGTGAAGTGGTCAAGGGGTCAGGGGTGGGATGGGGTCAGTGGTTAAGTGGTCAGTGGGGTGGAGGTCAAGGGGTCAGTGGTCAAGGGGTCAAAATATCAGTGGTCAAGTGGTCAAGGGGTCAGTGGTCAAGTGGTCAAGGGACTAGTGGGGTGGTGGTCAAAAGGTCTTCGGTCAAGTGGTGAAGGGGTCAGTGTTCAAGGGGTTATGGGGTCAAGGGGTCAAGAGGTCAGTGGTGAAGTGGTGAAGGGGTTAAGGGGTCAGTGGTCAAGGGTGGGATGGGGTCAGTGGGTCAAGGGGTCAGTGGTCAAGGGTTT